TTTTTTTTTCAAACGATCCACCCAAAGTTGAACAGTTTAATTTTTTCATCAGGTCTCACATTTTTTTTTTTTTTTTTTTTTTATTTTTTTTTTTTTTTTTCAAATGTCGATTGGTGAATTTTATTTTTCTCGCAAACGATCCAACCAAAGTTGAACAGTTTAATTTTTTTAACAGGTTTTACATTTAATTTTTTTTTTTTTTTTAAAAGAGTTTATAATGACTTAACAATGCATTCAATTCAAACTGTGGCATTAAGTAAGTCATTTTCTGGGCTGCTGGCCATATTTTAATTCCTAATGTATGTCCGTGCATGGCTTTACATGGCCTTACTCGGTTTTACATGGCCATACATGGCTTTAAATGCCAGTGCATTATTTTTTTTACACGATCCTAAATGGCTTTACATGGTGGCCGTGCACGGCTCTTAAAATGGCCGTGCGCATCACTTGGGTTTATTCATGATTTCAGATTAGGATTTGAGCCGAACTGTATCTCATATTTCTTTTCAATTTCATCTCGTCCAGGCATGTAAATAACTGATCTCTGAAGCCGAGTTTTGATGTGGAGGAGTAGGGGAGGATACGTGTAGATGAACCACACCAGCCCTCAAGTAGCAGCGAGCAGCACAATGTCAAGACTGGGAGAATATATCGTGCTTGTTGTCAGTTGGTGAATGGAGAAGATTACAATATAATAATAATACGTTAACCATTTTTTTCTTAAGGAGTTGGACTTTTATACTATTGAATCATACGTTGTGTCGCTGTTTGTTCAAATGTGGTTGTTGTGGTTGCTGTGGTTGTATAACTTAAGAAGACGCAACCACAACTTTGTATTTACAAAAGACAGGTAAATATTGTGAGATCAAGACAAAAAAAAGTCTTCAAGATAACAACTTGGCTGAACCTTTCATATTTGAGACCTTTCTTGAGACCATATTTGATACCTTATCTGAGGCCATATTTGAGACCTTATCTGAGGCCATATTTGAGACCCTTATCTGAGGCCATATTTGAGACCTTATCTGAGGCCATATTTGAGACCTTATCTGAGGCCATATTTGAGACCATATTTGAGACCTTATCTGAGACTATATTTGATATCATATTGAGACCTCATTTGAGACCATATTTGAGACCATATTTGATATCATATTTGAGACGTTATTTGAGACCTTATTTGAGACCATAAAGCAGGTGTGCATTTTCGCACCTGTTCTCTCATTAAATTGATTGATTCATGCCACAAACCAAAAAAAAAAGGGGGTGGGGGGGGGGTGGTGGGGGGTAAGTAGAAAGGGATACAATCGAAGCGGGCCCCAAAGCTGATGGAATCTTCTGGTAATAGTAATTCAGATGAAGAGCCGGAGTTCAAGTCTTAGAGTGACGACTTGTACAGGGACATTGCTTGACATGAATTGGTCCCATTAATAGACTGTCTTCGAGATCACTTGAAACAAAAAAAAGATAGCTGTCGGTGGGACAAACCAGGTCAAAGGTCAAATCGCAAAATTTGCCTGCGAGTCTTGGAACAAAGCGATGGGAAAGAAAAACTCAGCGAGACAGAAACATGACCCAACAGACAGCTGCTACACCAATGGCCTATAGACCTAAGAACCTGTAGACCTATAGACCTAAGAACCTATAGACCTATGGACCTAAGAACCTATAGACCTATAAACAGCACACTGCGCTCATTGGCCGTTGTCCCTGTCATCAGTTGGCACATAGGAGCTCAATGAATAAAAAAAAATATATCATCAATTATATTATCACTGTAACAGATATTAAACTTCCGGAACTAATTTCAACACAAAATTGTCTTTAAGACATGAATTATTAAAATATTTGAATATAATCCTTCCATCTTGTGTTCGCACGTGGTCATAATAAAAATATATATATATATAAAAAAAAACATTGCTATCCTAGAATATATTAAAAAAATAGAATGTTCCGAATTATTTGGCCAGTTATTAGTAGATTTGAAATTGAAACATTTATATAACTTAGCCCCCCCCCCACAAACAAAAAAAAAAAAAAAAAAAAAAAAAAATCAAAAAAAAATAAAAAAAAAAAAAAAAAAATAAAAAAAAAAACAAAAATTTTATTTTATAAAAAAAAAAAATAAAAACAAAAAATAAAAAAAACAAACACCCCCCACCCAAAACAAAAAAAAAAAAAAAAAAAAAAATAATCTAAATATAATAAAGAATTAAAAGTGTAACTGTCAACTTTAACGGAAATTTTTTTTTTTAAAAAGAAAGAAAAAAGAAAAAGAAACATGCACCATGGTTCTGTAAAGGACAGGATAGAAAGGTTTTTAAATTTTTAAAATATAACATTACACTATGTTAAATATGAACAAATGTCCAGCCAATGACCCATTAAAAGGTTTATGTTGGACACTGACCCCAGTTCAACCCTATGCCTTCATGAGACAGACTCATCTGCCGATATTTTACATTGCTTCTTTCGTGCTTGGAGAAACTGAATTTCGATGTACGCTTGGCTTTTATTTGATGATGAATGATGTCACAGAACTTCATCCTCTTTCGGATTTGTGTAATTAAGCCCGAACTAATCCTACTCTCCAAATTTTCAAAAGTCGCTTTTAGTTTACCTTATTATTATTTTTGTTAATGTAATGCACTGCAAAACGTAAGAAGTTGTTAAAACAACAATCGTGGTCATGACCTAGATCGAGACCCTTGTTAAATTGACAATTTAATTTTGTTTCCCCCTCCTCAAATCAACAAGTTATTTATAAATTGTATCGGTACCAGCAAATTGTCGGGGACAAGGAGGTTTCAGGCCCCCCCCGGCCTCCCCCCCCCCTTTTCTCTAAATGTCATGAAAAGTTTTATATTTTATTTCAGTGAATTCAGACCCATCTATTTTAAACAAGAATCACTGTTACAAAGTCCTAAAACTTTCTGTTTACTTCAGATTTAAGTGGTGGATGATTAAAACTTCAAAATAGTAAAAAAAAAAAAATTTAAAAAACATGAGAAAAAAAGCAATAAAACGCTATAAATAGAATAGCCTTTATTAGGAACGCATATACTTGAGGACGGAGTGCGTCATCGCGATCAAAGATGTGTCAATCTTTTATGACAGAAACGTTTCGACCAGACAGAGGTCAGAGTTGACAGACGTCATTTTTTGGAGATGTCGTCGCCATGAGTCGTTCCCCTTCGAGGTGTTGCTTTCTCCAATAGCCACGTGACAAATGGGTCTGTCACGTGATACACGAGCCAAAATCCTGGGCCAGAGCCTTGGAGACGAAATGGAGGGTCCCTACTCCAGCAGCCTCAGTTTCACATGGGCGGTTTAAAATGTAACCTAAACAACGCGATCACTGACTAAACATCAACTTATTCTTGCGTTATATAAACGTATAGAAAGGCTAGTTTACACACTCCAACTCCTCATCACCGTCGTCACTCCAATTGGAGGGGGCGGATGGCGAAAATTCATCTAAAAAGATGGATGTCTATAATTTGTTTCGTGGGTTCCCAAGATTCGAGGTTTTCACGCGGTCTGGTTGGTTTGATTTAAACCCAGCGATAGCAAGTATAAGTGTCATCCCAATTAATGACATACTACATTCACAATTATTGTTTAGGTAAATGGAATGTTCCAACATTTTTTCCCACATTTTTCTTTTTTGTAGACCAATTAAAACGCATTAATTTTAATATGATTCTACGCACCAAGTGCCAAAGGGCATTTGACGGGTACGTTTTTTTTTCTTTCTATTTGTTGCTGGGATACAAATCGGACCAGCCTGTGCTCAATGTAGATGGAGATCTAATGTAAACACTTTACCATGTAGCAAGGGATAAGATTTTTTTATTTTTTTTTGGTTTTGTTTTGAGAATTTCATTGAAGCGTTTATTGAAACTGTTTCCGGATACTTAAGGGGCTCAACTCTGTAATGCTGATCAAATAATCAACTATCAACTTCAAATGCAAGGGGCTCAAATGTGTAATGCTGGTCAAATAATCAACTATCAACTTCAAATGCAAGGGGCTCAAATGTGTAATGCTGATCAAATAATCAACTATCAACTTCAAATGCAAGGGGCTCAAATGTGTAATGCTGGTCAAATAATCAACTATCAACTTCAAATGCAAGGGGCACAAAACCTAAAAATTACAAGCCCCTCCCCCCCACCCCACTTTTTCTCTCTCTTAAAGTCACGTGACGGTTCTTAAGTTATTCTTAAGTTATTCTTAAGTTATTCTTAAGTTGTTCTGAAGTTATTCTTAAGTTATTCTTAATTTATTCCCCTTTTCGACCTAAGAGTAATAACAGTCAAGAATGATGGTGTTAAAAAGAATTATTTGACCGTGAAGATTTTGGTGGCCAAGAGCATGCCATTATGGGTTTTATGAAGAATGGGTGTCCGGTTGGGGGGTGGGGCAAATTCAAGAGTGACAGAAGAACAAATGAGTGATTGAGAGGACGAGGAAACCGGTGTCAGTGTCTTGTGTACCTGGTCTGGGGACTCTGAGAAGTAAAGGATAGGTGAATGGGATACGTTAATATGGATCAAAACAAGGAAAATTTAGTGGGGGGTGGGGGCGGGGTGGGGGCGCTGGGTGGAGGATTTGGAGCATGACAGATCACCGTTAAACATCATAAATAGGGAGACGCCTATGAGCTTAAGTGTAGTAGCTTTAATAACACATTACATTACAGACGACTTAGAGGTAAGCTGAAAGTTTATTAGAATATATTATAGATAGCATTAAAAAAACATTCTTTATTACTTCTCATAATAGCACTATGTACCAGTTTTTGTTCCCTGTATAAAGAATAATTGAAAGTTTTGTTTAGATTCACATTTTTAAAAAAAAATTCATTCAGAGATTATTTATTTTGTGGTACTTTAATTTCTAAATATTCTTAAATTATTTGAAAAATTGTTACAAATTGTCTCAATGCATGGTGTTAAAAGACGCGATAGCAGACATTTGCTTTATGCTTCCAGATATAACTTAACAAATAATGATGCTCATACAAGTTCTCATTGCCACTTTGTGCGTCCTGCCATTGGCCTCCTCCTTCTACATCGGTCAGTCATTTTTAGAACTCTGTGGTCATTTTTACAATGTACTCAAATGAACTCTGTTCAAAAAGTTATACAAAACTTTAGATATTTTTATTTAATTTCTGTACATTTCAAACACATTTTTAACTTAAAGTTTTTATTTTTTTTAATCGGTTTATTTTACTGTTGATCGGCCAGCGCCTAGTTAGTCAGTAGTGTTCAAATAGCAGATTTAATTTTCTAGATTGCAACCATAAAAATAAAAATTAAGAGCTTTTGATTTAAATTACTATATGGTATATTTAGGTCATGACTTTGACACACCCGATCAGAAAGTTCTCAGAAGAAACGCCTTTGGTCAGGTCCAAGCATTTGATGGTGAGTTGTCATGTATGCGAACAAGTATTTGAAGAAAAAAAAAGATAGAAATTAATGATGGTGAGTTGTCATGTATGGGAACAAGTCTTTGCTAGTGATAGAAATTAATGTGATGTAATATCCATGTACTCAGAAGGTTAAAACACATTTGACTCTGTACATTGGGCACTTGGGAAAATTCTTAACACCATGATTTTAATAGCACGCCCAGTACTGAAGTGTCCAGACGGTCAGTGTCAGTCCTGGGGAAATTATGTATTCTGAAGAAGAGGCAAATTTCAGAAAGTGTTTGAAAAGAAAATGTAAACAAAATTAAACTATGAAATGTGTGTCTCTCTTACTTTCAATGACTGTGTGTTTAACCCTCGCAGTCTCCCACGAACGCCGTCTGGTCTCCAATGGTTACGGTGGTTTGAGCCAAATCAATGTTGTGGGTAAGTTAAAAACACGACACAAACTACACACACACACATACAGACTTAAGAATTGTCTATTTTGGAAGACCATTCTTCTATCGTATATACTTGGATCAAAACTTATTTAAGTCAAAATGTTAAAAAATCTAGATATTAACTGATGACGTCATAAGCCTGTTTTTCGGTCCCGCTGGTGCTAACCTCTTTACAAAATATTTCAGAATATTCAGACCCTGACACCTACCACCCAGTAGGTAAGTGGAGTTCATTGTCTAATTGATCACGTGATTTTTAAAAAAAAATCAATGTTTTTTTTACTTTGCATGTCTTTGGGTATTGAATTTTGAAATGGTGGTGGTTAGATTGTGTCGATAGAGCTCAGAGATTAAAAAAAAATAATTATTAATTGTGCAACAGACAAAAAAAAAAAAATCAGGTTTCTTTAAAAATAAATTTTTCGTAAAATTTCTAGATCCCTAACTTTTTAAAGGAACAATTAATCTGTGTTTGAAATACGGCTAAGAGNGCCAAGACATACCGGCCCTTATTTCACGAGTCACTTGCACCCTGGCCTAGACATAGTGGCCCTTATTTCACGAGTCACTTGCACCATGTCCTAGACATAGAGGCCCTTATTTCACGATTCACTTGCACCCTGGCCTAGACATAGGGGCCCTTATTTCACGAGTCACTTGCACCCTCGCCTAGACATAGAGGCCCTTATTTCACGATTCACTTGCACCCTGGCCTAGACATAGGGGCCCTTATTTCACGAGTCATTTGCACCCTGGCCTAGACATAGGGGCCGTTATTTCCAATTTTTCTGTTAGGAAGTCCAGGAAAGCCCACTTTTAGGTTAGACTAATATTACTATAATAACTGATGTCAGATGTGTATTCATTGCTGTAGTCGGAGAACAACATATTTTCATTAACAGGGAACCTGTTTGCTTTATACCAGGCCTGCACAACTCAGAAAGGCAGGCCGTAATACTTTATGAAAATCGTGTGCGGGCCAAAAGAAAATAGGACAGTTGGAGGGGGGGGGGGGGGGGAATTAAGAAAACATTGATAAAAAAGAAAATTTCGTTTATATATATATATGGGCTTTTAAAAAATCATATCAATTTCATTGGAACGAGCTTCCGTGGCGAACTTTTTAAAGGGACTTGCGAGCTTTAGCGACTTTCGAAGTTGTAGGCCCTAATACCCAGACATGGCAATGATAGTTGGTAGTTATTTCTCCTTGGCGCAAAAGAATGGGGTGGGCAAAGGGGTGGGCAATTGATTGGCTATTTGATGTTTGAAAATATCTGAAGAAAGTTCTGTAACGTACATACATCTAACATATTATTTGCAACAATATACACATACACATGTAATGAGATGCTAATCATTCGTATTATTATTGGAGATACAAATTTTACTTCCAGGTCCTGCTATCTTCCCTCATCCCATTGGACTCCCCAATCGGCCTGTCTACCCTGGACCAATGCCGTTGCCGTACCACCCTGGGGTTCCCTTCCCCCCACGTTACTGTGAGTAGTTTTCTTGTGCTCTTGGACGCGAACTCTTCGGGCCCACATCACTGACAACTGACATCGCCATTGTTGCTGTGCGGGATCTGAAACATAGTTCAGAAATGCGGAGGGAATTTGAAATGTATAAAACATATAATATATGATATAACGACCTGGGTTCTCTGAACTGGTATAACATAAGGACCTGGTTTCTCTGTACTTGTCTGCTCCACCAAAAAAGACACCAACAGTAACTTCTATATTCTCACTATCAGAGCTAAATAAATTACCCTAAAATAAAATTTTAAAAATTTTCAAGACGTTTGATAATCTCATATGGTGTGTCAAACCACCCCCCCCCCCCAAGAAAAACAATGCAAAAACTTCATTGGTTTATCTTCCGCCGGAAAAGTAGTTCCCTATTTCAGATTTAGCTAGACACATTCCACAGAGGCGTAGAACAGAGCTACCAAAACTTTTCTGTTTGGAGAACAGGTGGACAAGTTTGGAATTTGCACCAGGAACCGCTGACAGATTTACTGATCATATTTTATTTAAATTTGACCATAAATATACATATTATGCGGACCGGCAACGTAAAGCTCGCGGAGGACCGGTGCCGGTCCGTGGACAACTATTTGAGGTACACTGGCGTAAGGTCAATGACGCAGACGAGTCACTTCCACCCTAGCCTAGACATAGAGACCCTTATTTCACGAGTCACTTGCACCCTGGCCTAGACATAGGGGCCCTTATTTCACGAGTCACTTGCACCCTAGCCTAGACATAGAGGCCCTTATTTCACGAGTCACTTGCACCCTGGCCTAGACATAGGGGCCCTTATTTCACGAGTCACTTGCACCCTGGCCTAGACATAGAGGCCCTTATTTCACGAGTCACTTGCACCCTGGCCTAGACATAGGGGCCCTTATTTCACGAGTCACTTGCACCCTGGCCAAGACATACCGGCCCTTATTTCACGAGTCACTTGCACCCTGGCCTAGACATAGTGGCCCTTATTTCACGAGTCACTTGCACCCTGGCCTAGACATAGAGGCCCTTATTTCACGAGTCACTTGCACCCTGGCCTAGACATAGGGGCCCTTATTTCACGAGTCACTTGCACCCTGGCCTAGACATAGAGGCCCTTATTTCACGAGTCACTTGCACCCTGGCCTAGACATAGGGGCCCTTATTTCACGAGTCACTTGCACCCTGGCCAAGACATACCGGCCCTTATTTCACGAGTCACTTGCACCCTGGCCTAGACATAGTGGCCCTTATTTCACGAGTCACTTGCACCCTGGCCTAGACATAGAGGCCCTTATTTCACGAGTCACTTGCACCCTGGCCTAGACATAGGGGCCCTTATTTCACGAGTCACTTGCACCCTGGCCAAGACATACCGGCCCTTATTTCACGAGTCACTTGCACCCTGGCCTAGACATAGTGGCCCTTATTTCACGAGTCACTTGCACCCTCGCCTAGACATAGAGGCCCTTATTTCACGATTCACTTGCACCCTGGCCTAGACATAGGGGCCCTTATTTCACGAGTCATTTGCACCCTGGCCTAGACATAGGGGCCGTTATTTCCAATTTTTCTGTTAGGAAGTCCAGGAAAGCCCACTTTTAGGTTAGACTAATATTACTATAATAACTGATGTCAGATGTGTATTCATTGCTGTAGTCGGAGAACAACATATTTTCATTAACAGGGAACCTGTTTGCTTTATACCAGGCCTGCACAACTCAGAAAGGCAGGCCGTAATACTTTATGAAAATCGTGTGCGGGCCAAAAGAAAATAGGACAGTTGGAGGGGGGGGGGGGAGGGTATTAAGAAAATATTGATAAAAAAGAATATTTCGTTACTTCGCGACCACAAGGTGAGTGCTGGCGGGTCGCGTATGTTGTGCAGGCCTGCTTTATACTTATTACACTGTTGTTCATCTTTCACAAGCAGACACAACAGGGGCGATATGTGGAGGCAGGGGTGCAACAATAACACAGCCCCGGGGAGCTTCTAAGGGAATGGGGTCTAGCCTTCTAGCCTGCCATGGAACCCGGGCCAAGGACTGGGTCCGTCCTGCCCAATGGAATCTAACATTGCTTTCCAAAGCCCATCTGTTTCCGCTTTCATCGGACAGAAATGCGCTTTGTGACGTAATTTAGGCGACAAATTCGGACTTAAGGTGTAATAGTTGGTCTTTCTTTGGGGATATGTAGCTAATAGATTGTTTCAATAAATTTTCTTTCCAACCCCAGATCTACATTAATGAAGTAAGCCATTCGACTGCATGAGGGTGAGCCATGTGACTGCATGAGGGTGAGCCATGTGACTGCCTGAGGGTGAGCCATGTGACTGCTTGAGGGTGAGCCATGTAGAGCTCCATAACATCCTCTGCTCGACACCATCCATGTGGATAAGGATAGAGGGAAAACAATTCTCATTAATATATTTGAATACATACCATCTAAACAACTTTCATGTGTTCTTGTTGTTTTTTACGCCATACAGTTGACCAGTCTAATCTTAATGCTTACAATATGCGGAATAAAATGTATGGAATTTTACCATAAAAAAAAATTAACCGATGCTCTTAATTCTAACTCTCTCTTCCTTTCTCTCTCTCTCTCTCTCTCTCTCTCTCTCTCTCTCTCTCTCTCTCTCTCTCTTTCTCTCTCTCTGTCATTTCTCTCTTTCTCAGGCCTCGACATGATATCTTATTCAACTATTATAAAAAGTCTGTACTTTTACCCTAAAAAAAAATTAACCTCTGCTCTTATTTCTATCTCTCTCTTCCTCTCTCTCTCTCTCTCTCTCTCTCTCTCTCTCTCTCTCTCTCTCTCTCTCTCTCTCTCTTTCTCTCTCTCTGTCATTTCTCTCTTTCTCAGGCCTCGACATGATATCTTATTCAACTATTTATTTACTTTATGCGGCTTAAATGCAGCTTTAAAGCCACTCATTCTGATGCTAGGGATATAGGTCTAAATTTATTTTAACTTTTCATCCCCATAACCTTAAAGCTCGTTTTCTGGTTTTGAAATTTTTTATTAAAGCTTAACTTATATTGTTATACTGACACAAATTGTTCTAATCTATTTAAGTAATCTATTTTATAGCTGTATCGCAGTCCAACACTTTTTAGGATGTCCTGAACACTTCTTCCCAATGCTTCTATTCCCCCTTTGTGAGCCATGGTGCGCTCATCCCCAACCAATCATCGTGTTGCGATCCATGTGCACTCATGCCAAACAATCATCTTGCTGTGAGCCGTGATGCACTCATCCCAAACAATCACCTTGCTGTGAGCCGTGATGCACTTATCCCAAACAATCATCTTCTTGTGAGCCTTGATGCACTCATCCCAAACAATCATCTTCTTGTGAGCCGTGATGCACTCATCCCAAAAAAATCATCTTATTATGAGCCATGGTGCGCTCATCCAAAAAAGTCATCTTTCTGTGAGCCGTGATACACTCATCCAAACAATCATCTTCTTGTGAGCCGTGATGCACTCATCCCAAAAAAATCATCTTATTATGAGCCATGGTGCGCTCATCCAAAAAAGTCATCTTGCTGTGAGCCGTGATACACTCATCCAAACAATCATCTTCTTGTGAGCCATGATGCACTCATCCCAAAATAACATCTTGTTGTGAGCCATGGTGCGCTCATCCCAAATAACATCTTGTTGTGAGCCATGGTACCCTCATCCCAAATAACATCTTGTTGTGAGCCATGGTACCCTCATCCCAAACAATCATCTTCTTGTGAGCTGCTGTGCACTCATCCCAAACAATCATCTTGTTGTGAGCCATGGTGCGCTCATCCAAAATAACATCTTGTTGTGAGCCATGGTGCGCTCATCCCAAATAACATCTTTTTCCGAGCCATGGTGCACTCATCCCAACCAATCATCTTCTTGTGAGCCCTGATGAGCTCATCCAACCAGTCATCAGATGATGATATTAACATCAAATACATGGTTTAAGAACTAAAATATAAATATTCTTGTTGGACGCGCTGTCATTCTCAAATAGCGCTTGTAAAAATGAAATACAAATCAAATAAGATGTGACATCAAAACACAAACCGAAAACAGACTCACAGAACAAAACATGGCGCTTATGTATGTTTTGAACTTAAGTCCCAATAGCATACATTTAAGAGATGAATTTATAAAGTTTAAAAAAAATTAAATAAAAACTTGTCAGAATAAAAGAGGAAACAGAAACATCATTTTTATTATTATAATTATTATTTTTATTATATATATTTTTTTTTAATCTCGTGAGTGCAGTATCGTCTTAACAGCATCGGGAGCCCTGGGCCCAGTCATGTACTGAG